GTCGCTGGCATCTTGAAATGTTTACTCGAAAGTAAAGTTATAGAACTCCCTGAATGTAAACGCCCTCAAGAGATGGGACGTGTCAACGATCCAAAATACTGCAAATACCATCGTATTGTCAGTCATCCAATTGAGAAGTGTTTTTTCTTCAAGGAGGTGGTGATGAATCTAGTAAAACAAAGAAAAATCTTGTTAGACACGGATGAAGTTGTAACTTCAAATCATACTACTGCTACTGTAACAACCTCTGTCATGGGGAGTGCTCGTTCTTAACCTTCAACCTCTGAGATATATTGCATAACCATCCAGTTTGGCTCATTGGAACCAATCCCTATCTCTCTTGGCAAAAGGAGTGCACTTGACGTTTCAACCTTTGGAAGGGTCTTTCCTCAAGATGATGAAGAAGGATGGACTTTGGTGACAAGAAAGAAACCACGGAAGCAAAGAGCTGACATTTTTCAGACTAGTTATTCTGACAGGGGGCAAATGAAGAAGAAACTTTAATATCGCCATAAGCAGTCTGGCCATAACAAAAAATGGGTCAAGAAGACACAATCAACCAAACACGCCTCTATAAGCCAAAGGATCGAGAAGCCTATTACTTTACAAGATTTCTTTTGAGAAAGATATCTAGATGACGAAGTTGTGACAGCTTACATGGTTTCAACTAAAACGGGCCCTGATGGTGAGAATTGCAAGGATCAAGATGAAGCTCAGAATCATGCAAAGGATGCTGCCATCATTGAAAAGTCCGATGATGATGAAGTAATCGGAGGTACACTGGATTTATGTTATGCACTAATTATTTTCACTGACGAAGATCTTCAGTTGGGTTCGAAGCCGCACAATTGTCCTCTTTTCGTTTCCGGTTACATAAAGGAACAAAGAGTTACTCGAATTCTTATTGATGGTGGATCAGAGGTGAATCTCATACCAAAATTTATGATGAAAATCTCGGCATCACAGTCGACGAGTTATCTCATACCCGTCTTATTATTCAAGATTTTAACCAAGGAGGACAGAGAGCTATTGGCATGATTCGGGCAAAACTAATTATTGGCGAGCTCCAAGCTGAAACCTTATTCCATGTTATTGATGTAAAGACGTCTTATAATTTGTTGTTGGGAAGGCCTTGGATACATAATAATGGTGTCATTCCATCGACTCTTTATCAGTGCTTCAAATTCTACAAGAATGGCGTACAAACTGTTATGGCGGACCATAAACCATTTACAGAAGTAGAATCTTATTTTGCCTATGCCAAGTTCTATATCGATCCTGATACACCTTCGGAAGTGCCCATCCTAAGCCATCCGTCTACACAAGAGGTTCAATCTACAAAAACAAAAGAAGCGTTAATTGATCCATTAGATGTTTCAGTGACAGACATTGTAAAGGTGGCTAAAACAAGAGGGGTCTCGATAAAAGCACATCAAACGAAACCTATTTTAAAGTATGTTCCAAAATCTCAATGACAAGAAGGGCAGTCACCTATCATTGAGATACTTGAAACCAAGGAATTTAAATTGAAAATCTCATAAACCAAAGAGAAAGAAGATATGCAAAAGCTGAAAGGAGAGTTAACTCTTCCTCTCACCAAGATTCAAAAGTCTTCGCCTTCCAAGCCTCCATTAAAAGGGTTCATGCGGCCTTCTCAATCTCTGGTCAATCATGGATCACTTCCAAAAGAAAGGACTGATGAAGGATTCGATCCTAAAGCATACCAACTTATGGCTAAGTCGAGGTATGATTTTACAAATCCTACAAACCTTGGAAAACTGAATTCAGAGGTCACTGGTGAGAAAATGCATGGCCTCAATGAGACACAGAAGAAATTAAAAGATCAAGGGCATAAAATCATTCCACCCAAGTCTGGTATCGGTTTTGTACCTTCTGAGCCACTTCGAATTTACATCACAAAAAATGATAAGAAGTCAAACACTTTTTACATTGGGTTTAAAGAAGTTGCGGATGAACAAGAGCAACAGACTATAAATCAAAAATCGGTCTTCAACCGTATTGGAGCTCTATGTGATTGAATATCTGTATTCAACAGGTTGTCAAGCCAAGAATCAAACGTTTCAAGTTCTCATGTCAGCAGTTTGCCTCGTGCCTCTGTTTTTAACAGAATGAGCTTTCATGACCAAGGAAGAAAATCTCCACAACCTCAACCTCAAAATTCAGTATTTTCTTGAATTGGTACTATCAATGATGCACCGCTAAAAAGTAGCAAGAGTGGGAAGTCAGGGGAAACAAGCATTGACATGGTGAACAATAGTGAAGTTCAGAGCCTAGTACCCTCACGAATGAAACGTAAGACAGAGGTAGATGTCACCAATGATGTTACATTAAAAGCTAGAAGGCGAACCATTGTATTCACTAATCAAGCAAAAGAAGTGGAAGACATTAGCAAATCATCTTGTGTTACTTCATACCACATCACTATTTAAGAGGAACCTGACGCTGAACAACCAGATGACATCGAGAAAGCTCTACCAACACTAGAAGACGGGGGGCAGGCTATCGTTGATCAACTCAAAGAAATCAACTTAGGAACTAATGATCAACCCAGACCAGTTTTCATTAGTGCATTCCTAAGCCCTTCAGAAGAAAATGATTACTTTCAATTGTTGTCTGAGTACAAGGATGTCTTCGCTTGGACATACAAAGAGATGCCCGATCTTGATCCTAAAATTACAGTGTACAATCTTGTTGTCAAACATGGGACACGTCCGATTAAGCAGTCTCAATGTTTCTTCTGTCCAGAGCTAGTTCCGAGGATAGAGGAAGAACTCAACAAATTAATTGAAGTAGGGTTCATTCGTGAGGTCAAATATCTAACATGGATTTTGAGCATTGTTACAGTGAAGAAGAAAAATGGACAGATTCGAATTTGTGTGGATTTTCATGATTTAAATGAGGCATGTCCAAAAGATGATTTTCCTCTTCCCATCCCTGAACTCACTGTAGATGCAACTACAGGGCATGAAGTTCTCTCGTTCATGGATTGTTACTCCGAGTATAATCAGATAAGAATGATTCCAAAAGATGAGGAACTAACTGCTTTTCGCACTCCTAAAGGTATATATTGCTACAAAGTTATGCCCTTTGGACTCAAAAATGCGGGAGCAACATACCAGTGCACCATGCAAAGGATCTTCGAAGACATACTCCATAAGATTGTTGAATGTTATGTTGATGACTTAGTGGTAAAGACGAAAGAGCGAAGAAATCATTTACAGGATCTACGTACAGTTTTTAATCTCCTCTGAAAATATCAACTCAAGATGAATCCCCTTAAATGTGCATTTGGTGTGACTTCAGGGAAATTCCTGGGGTACGTTGTACGTCATCGTGGTATTAAGATTGATCCTAATAAAGTTGAGCCCTTTCAAAAGATGTCGCTACCAAAGAATTTGCGTGAGCTTCGAAGTTTACAAGGTCAACTTGTGTTCATTCGTCGGTTCATCTCAAATTTAGCTGGTCATTGTCAGCCTTTAAACTGACTCCTGAAGAAAGATGTTCTATTTAATTGGGACCAATTGTGCCAAAATGCTTTTGATAGCATCAAAAAGTACATTCTCAATTCTCCGGTATTGGGAGCACCTATACCTGGAAAGCCGCTTATACTTTACATTGCCGCGCAAGAAGAATTGCTAGGTGCCTTATTTGCTCAGAATAATGAAGAACATAAAGAGAAGGCATTGTATTACTTAAGTCGCAGACTCACCCCGACGGAGCGAAATTATTCTCCAATTGAAAAAACATGCCTCGCACTTGTCTTCGCCTCTAAGAAATTGAGGCATTATTTCTTGGCTCATACGATACATCTTATTACAAGAGCTGATCCTCTCAAATATGTTATATCTAAACCGGTCTTTTCCGAACGCTTGGCGAGGTGGTCAATTTTGTTCAACGAATTTGAAATTGTTTATGTGCCACGAAAAGCTGTGAAAGGACAAGTCTTAGTAGATTTCTTAGCTGACCTTCCTATTCCAGCCGATTGGGAAATTTCTGAAGATTTTCCCGATGAAGAAGTCTTCTTTGTAGACATCCTCCCTCCATGGATGATGTTTTTCGATGGGGCAGCACGATCAGACGGGGCCGGAGCAGGCGTAGTTTTTGTTTCTCCACAAAGACATGTTATTCCATACTCTTTTGCACTCGCTGAAAACTATTCAAATAATGTAGCTGAATATCAAGCCTTGATCATCGGCCTTCAAATGGCAAATGAGATTAAGATCACGGATCTCTAAATATATGGAGACTCTAAGTTGGTAATTAACTAACTTCTTCAAGAATATGAGGTTAAAAAAGATGATTTAGTGCCGTACCATCATTATGCCTCTCGTTTGTTGAAACGGTTTGATAGTGTCATGCTAGAACACATTCGGATGAAAAAAAAAATCGGATAGCTGATGCTTTGGCAAATTTAGCTACAACATTGGCGTTAACTGCTGAGGACTTGGTTGATGTTCCTGTATGTCAACGATGGGTTTTGCCACAAGTCTTGGAAGATAAATTTGAAGAAAGTAATTTGGTTTCTTGTTAGACACAAGAGGAAGAAGACTGGAGACTCCCTATCATTGATTATCTGTAACATGGAAAACTTCTCGAAGATCAACGCCATAAGACTGAAATACGAAGACAAGCACCTCGATTCATCTATTACAATGATACGTTATATAGAATTACATATGAGGGCCTTTTCCTTCGCTGCCTCGCAAATGATGAAACCACCCATGCAATGAAGGAAGCACATTCTGGGATTTGTGGAGCCCATCAGTCTAGACCAAAAATTCACTTTCGTGTCAAAAGAATGGGTTATTATTTGCCCACCATGGTCAAGGACTGCATGGAGTATGCAAAAAGGTGTCAAGCCTGTCAATTCTATGCTAACTTCATACACCAACCACCAGAACCATTGCACTCTACTGTGACGTCATGGCCATTTGATACATAGGGATTAGATGTAGTTGGTCCTTTAGACAAGTCTTCAAATGGCCCACTTGTATATCTTGGCTGCCACTGGTTATTTTTCCAAATGGGCGAAAGTTGCACCCTATAAACATGTGAAAAAGGAAACAGTGGTTGATTTCATCAAATCGAACATTATCTATCGATATGGTGTCCCTCGGTACCTTATCACTGATAATGGGATGAATTTCAAAAATAGTTGGGTAACTGACCTTTGTGAGAAGTTTGGTTTCAAACAACGTAAGTCCTCCATGTACAATGCCCCTGCCAATGGTCTTGCAGAAGCATTCATTAAAACTCTTTGTGAGTTATTGAAGAAAGTAGTCAACCAGACAAAGAAAGATTGGCATGAGCGAATGGAAGAAGCATTGTGGGCATACCACACTACGCACCGTACACCTACTCAAGTAACTCTGTATTCTCTGGTCTATGGCGTAGAAGCGGTTCTTCCATTGGAACAACAGATCCCTTCGTTAAGGATTGCCATATAGGAAGGTCTTACAAGTGAAGAAAATGTCATCTTACGTCTTCAAGAACTGGAAGCATTGGATGAGAAGAGATTAGAAGCCCAACAACAGCTAGAGTGTTATCAAGCTCGACTTTCTAAAGCCTTCAATAAGAAAGTTCGACCTCGGTCATTTCAGGTTCGAGACTTAGTATTTGCTGTTCGTAGACCAACTGTCATGAATCGTAAGGGAAATAAATTTGTATCCAAATGGGATGGACCATATGTTGTTTGTGAAGTTTATACTAACGGCGCATATCTCATTATTGATGAGATGGAGTAAGAGTGGGGCCCATTAATGGCAAGTTCCTAAAGTGCTATTACCCATGAAGGCAATGCTTCTGATCGTACGAGCTTAAACTGCACTATGCTCCTGGCTCGCATGAGCTAAAACTGTGTACGGCCCAAAAAAAAAAAAAAAAAATTCATATCCCTTTTGAACTACGTGATGACTTGATCCCTCATTTGGGGGTACGTACGCAGCTTAGAATTTCATTCTAAGTTCAGCATGATATATATATATATATATATATATATATATATATATATATATATATAAAACTCACTCCTGGCCCGCAAGAATATAAACTGTGAATGGCAAAATAAACAAATCAAATTCATTACTTTGTCATTATAAAATGATATTTTATTACAAGGTATGTGGGAAAAAAAAAAAAAAAAAAAAAAAAAAACTTCTCATTAAGGCAACAAAGGGAGATCCTCAATTTCAGTTTGAGCATTTTGTAACAGTTTTTCCATGAAATTCAAAGCTTTTATATCATCATCAGTGACAACGGAGGTCTCTTCGATTGAATTTTGTTCCTCCTTGAATTTTGCAATGTTAGCTTTTCTTTGGAGAATTCGGTTATTAGCTTCTTCAATGGTGGCTTTATGTCTTTCCATACAAGCATGCAAAAGTTCGATTTCTCTCTCACAATTATGTAGAGCTTCTTGAGCTGATTGATCTTGTTTCATGTCTGCACAATCTAAAGTAAGAGCTTCTTTAAGGTGAGAACCAACATCAGCTAAACGTCGAGAGCGTACTTCTTCAGATAAGGCATGATCATGCTTGAATAAAACTTTGTTATATTCTTCACCATTCTGAATGTATGCATCAATTTTATAGCAGAACTCCGAAAAATCCACACATTGTTTAGAAATTTCAAGAAAGATCTCGTCAAACTTTGGTTTAAGAGATGAAATCTTCAAAAGCGGTGTACACCTCACTTTACTCTTAATGATATTCCCAAATGCTTTGGCCGCCGTGTGCTTAATCTCAGAAATGGCACTCCTCGGGTCAAAAGTAGTTACAGAAGGTGTGATTCGGTGAGATGTCTGGGTATCCCTAAGATGATGACTCTTAGTCGATAATGCAGTAGCCGTTGCAGGAATCTCTTCAATATTCATAATCATTTGTTGGCTTTGGATGTCCTTTTCAATCAAAGAGGCTTGGGATTGTGAATGCCTCTCAAGGGACTCCACCTCTTGTAAGAGAGGGTTGTTCTCATTTTGAGTAATTGTACGGTTTCTTTTAGCTGCTAAATCAAATGCATAGGGTCCATAAGTAGATTCCCCACTGCATACAGGATTAGTAACCATAATAACATCCTCTCCAAGAAAGCCTTCATTGCCTTTTGTCTAAAAAAAAATGAGATAATGAAAAAGAAAAACAAATAAATAAAATAAAATAAAATCTTTACTTGGATGGGTTCTGAACTACTATTAACTCCTTCAAACAAGCAGTCTAAATTATGAGGAATAACAACCCGATCATATGGGAAGTTATTTACACCTACATGTTTCCAGTTACGGTCTTCATTGTCAGTTTATTTATTTGAATGGATTAACAATTGAGAATGTTGTCAAGACTCTACTGGTGACAGAAATTGCTCCGTTGGCAGGTCTGCATTGATATTGTTGATCTTGTGAGTTTCAATGGCTTCTTGTCTGCAACGAGAATTCGACTTGAGTCTACTAATAATGACTTTTCTAACTTTGGCTGGTGATTCCTTTAGAGAAATTTAGCATATGCTTTGGTAATTGAGGACTTCTGGTGACTAGATGTTGAAGGAAGCAACACGTTGCAACCAGAAGAGTAATGAACGGAGGAAGTCCAACACTTTAAGAGTTCTTCTAAGGTACAATTATGAATATCGTTCTTCAATTTTCCAGGAACATCTTGGTGGTATCCAAATTGTCGACTAAATCTGTGTGGACTATATGGCTCAATGATAAGACGGTTATCTCGGCGTAATGTTAAATAGCATGATCGAAGACTAATTAGGTAGTTAGAGTCAGGCTTTATCATTTGGCCATTATCCACAATGAGTCACTGTTTTAAAGATCTTTTAGACAGATGAGTTAAAATTACTCCTTCACATGATCTGAATAAATTTTGTGCTTCAAAAATGTCAAAATGTTTTGCTCCTCCTTCTCTAGCATATAATGTCATTCGAGGCCAGTATTTGGTATGGGGAACGGTGAAATTAGTTTGGAAATAATCACTTAACCATCCGAATACATAGTGTATAGGAAATATCGCAGAGCAACGTCCAGGATCTGGTGAGGAAACAATCTTGTTCAAACCTCTATAAATACTGGCCAAAACTGGGATGGAAAGATAAATGTTGCAGCCATCTGCTAACATGCTGGCAACCTTGAAGGTTCCAGGACGAATCACGTTACCAGGGTGTGCAGGCAAGATGAATTTACAGAGCCAACATGCTAAAAAAGCAGCTAAATAAGTGGTGTCTCTCGATTCTTCATCTACACCAAGGTTAATAAATACTTCATTCTCTTTGGTGGACATTGGCCGAAAAGGAGGGATTGCACCAGAAGGGTTCTGAGTCTCCTTTGGACGATAAACTTTATTTTTTTTCATTCTCTTTAAGGAATTGTCATGCCTTGATGCACCTTGAAACCAAAAACTAATCTAGTCAGATATCTTCACATTCTGTTCTCCTTTGTACTTTTTACGGAGTCTGTGGAAAGCCAAAAATAGATGTTAACAACTCAAAGGGAGAGAACGTTTGTTGTTGCCAGCTCTCGAGAGTTCATCTGCACGCGGAATGACTTCGTCATAAATTCTTCCTTGATGGGGGAGACTGCCTAACGCATATAAATCTCGAAGGGAAATAGACAGCTCGCCAATAGAACAATGAAGAGTATTAGTAGTTGGGCACCAACATTCGAGGAATGCTTTGAATACCTCTTCATGGTGATCATATGAAAACAGGGAGGCGAATAGAGTACCATATAGATTTTGTTTTAATAAGAAGTTATGGAAGCGCGCCAAGACATCTTATAACCATTCCCAATATAGTTCGGTGTGTGGTAATTCAGCAGAAGGTGTACAGGGAATACTCCATGACACTTTCTTCGCTTGAACATTGTGACCCAATAGTGAAAACTGGTTCTCCTCAACTATTCTCCCATGAAGTGGAGAATTTAATATCAAGGCCTCCGAGACAAGGGATTCTTCATTAATGTGATCAAGACTAAAGTTGGTAAGGTCGCCTGTAGCCTTGCGTGTCCAATGAGAAGAACATTGTTCATTATCGGGATCAGGCATTTGAATGCGTGTCCAATGAGAAGAACAATGTTTATTCTCGGGATTAGGCATATAAATGGCATCGCGACCGAGAAGTGAATCGAATACGCTTAATGTGGTTCCTTGGCTTCTTCGACAATTTTCGCTCTCTAAGATAGTCACCTTTTGCTTCATAAAACACTTGAATGCCACCATAATGGAATAATACACAAATTTTGAAGCTCGATTAATGTTGTGAAGAAGGAAGATTTCAATTTCTGATACGGTTGGTGTAATCAAGTTGTTATATCCAATCAAATCCTGAAAAAAAAATAAAAAAAAAATAAAAAATAAAATAGTTCTCCAACAAGCGTGAGAAGGAAAAAAAATAATAATAATAAAAATAAAAATTTGACCTCCAGGAAGCGTGAAAAAATATATATATATATCTCTTCCAGAAGTGTGGAGGAGGAAAAAAAAAATATTTCATTCCTCTAGGAAGCGTGGAGGAAGGAAAAAAAAAAAAGAAGTCATACCTATGTGTTCAAACAGATGCCACAATCCAACACAATCCTCAGAGGCTGCAATCTTACAAGTCCTTCAGAGCTGATTGAAATTGATGTCAAACCCTATGACTTGGGTGATATATATAGGCATGGGATTGGTATAAATTGGAAAGTAAAATTCCAATCCAAAGTGGGATTGGAAAAAAAATAAAAATTAAAAAAAATTAAAAAAAAAAAAAAAAGAAGAAGGAAAGTTGGATACTTCAAGTCCCACTTGAAAAATGAGACAAGTCCTGTCAAGCTTGGGACTCGAAGTGGGGGCAATTTGTAGACACTAAAATTTTAGTGGACTTTGATTTGAACAAATGGACCCATTAAATATGAGCCTAATGTTTAATTAAGTTATTTAATTGGCCCAAGTTTGGTCCACTTAAATTATTTAATTAAGCCTAGTCCAGATGGTTAAATAAAAAGATTAATTATTCCTAATAAAATATATTCAGAATAATTATTTTTAAGGATAATTATCATAATATATCCAGCCCAGCCTAGTTATGATATTTTCCTTATCAGAGAGGACACGTGTCATCATCCTATGGATCCAAGAAGCTTATAAATGCTTTCCTGGAGGAAAGGAGAAGGGAATACAAATTCAGAATTCAGAAATTCAGAATTCCAGAGAGAAATACAAAAGCTCTCATCCCCAACAACCAAACCCAAAGGTGAAGAACACCAAGTACATCAAATCGTGCCGGTCTTCATCAAATTCCACACTGATCAACAATAAGCACATCCAAAGTCGTGTCATTCGTCATCCAAATTCCACAGTGATTCAAGATCAAGCTCGTACAGCCCTTGGATACAACCAACCAACAAAAAAAAGGAGACTTAATCAGAGGACCAGTTCTTTCTTTTGTAAAGAATATTACAGAAGATTGTACCTTAATTTCT